AGAGAAATATAAAGAATTAGATTTCTTATTTAAGAAAGTTTACCGTCTCCCATACATTTTATATGGCTGTATGGCCGCCATTGTTATGCAAAATGCGCATGCCCGACGCCATTTTGTCCGAAATTTCTGGCAATGCACAGTACACTAGCCCCTTTAATAATATACGGCTTTACCTTGGTGGACAAAGAAGAGAGTCCACTATTCCTCCCCTGATTAGAAAACCACTACGCAAGTAAGGCTTTAGGGATCTTGACAGCTTCAAATCACAGCAAGCAATGAAGTATATGTAGCCATATCATAGAATAAAGTATATGTAGCCATAGCATAGAATAAAGTATATGTAGCCATAGCATAGAATAAAGTATATGTAGCCATATCATAGAATAAAGTATATGTAGCCATATCATAGAATAAAGTATATGTAGCCATAACATAGAGTAATATTTCAGTCTACAAGCACATGTATGAAATTTTGAGTCTACTTTTGGCATTTTTGTTTTCTTCAGGTTACGGTTTCCTAATGCATAAAAGTGGGCTATGCGTGGATTATAACAGTGGTGTTCTGTCTCTCAACAACGAATGTAACAGTCAAACTGCTCTCATGATCTGGTCACGTGATGGAGCTATTAAGCAGGGTACCGAGTGTATTATTCCTAAATCGTTTGGACGATGTCCTCCGTAAGTAGTCAGCTTAGGACCCTAAAAGGTACGCGAGGGTTTTATTGTCGACCCAAAAAGGTCCGTCGAGCATACCTACCAACGTTTATAAGGAAGTCCTCCCCCCGGGGATAATCTGCTGTCAAATGGAAAAAGCTGGAGGATTTTCCTTTGCGAAACTTAACTCATCTAATATGAGTTTTCGTTGATACTTTGTCTAATTTTTTATCAAGTTTTCAGTTCACGAATGACAACTCTCTACAAAACGTATTTACCGGTAAATGTCTGGTCCCAAACGCGGGGGAATTGAGCCCCACACCTGGCACGGTGCTAGTTGAACAGGCAGCGTGTGGAGAGGAATACTCAAGCTTCACATTAAAGAGTAAGCTCATAATGAGATGAAATTAAGTTTATACACAAAATCGACTAATCTTGCAATAGTTTTATTTACAACAGTAGAAAGCCTTGTTTTCCGAAAAGCTTTCAAATAGTCACGTGCGATGGCTCCCAATCCCATGCCTGGAATCTGTTCTGACATATGACAAGTTCCAATATCTTTAACTTTTGGGATATGYATCAGTATGAAGATCACTAACCCCAATACTTCCGATTTTGTGCGTTTTGGAAGAAAAGCCTAAAATGTTGTATTTGAAATGTCCCTCGTATCTCTGAACTGTGTRATTTTGCTTAAATGTTGAATTGTGGGTCTGATATCACACACACACTAAAATATCTTCCAGATAGGTTTGAATTTTTTTGTAAATCGTAAAAATTGACGATCTTTAAATTAAAAGTCATTTTTTAATCAAAAATTCTCCAAAATATCCGCCAGCTAACGGTTTAAGATTAAGGCTCCCTTCAACCTTCAAGAGCCTTACTGAATCTTCAAAACCTTGCTGAAACAATATTCCTGACCCTTCAGTCCCGCTGAGCCTCGCAACTCCTGCGACCCTCCTCCCCGATATGGTGCTCCTCTGCATCTCAAGGGGCTAATTCCATCCCTACACTATCACTAAAGAAAAAGGGCAAAGCATTCGGGAAGTTGTAGTAAATGACGTCATAGTGCAAATCACCTATAGCAATTAGTTTACATCTTATTCATGGTAAACAGACTCGGCTGATCACTGCTTGCGTTGACTTTTTCAAATTTAACAAAATCTTATCGAATTCTTGGTTTTATCTGTAAAGTCTTCACGTTTTTAAACCCAAACAATGCACCTTTTTTAGATTTATCGTTTTTTTTCTTTTTCTTATTTTCAGAGGCCAAAGGATACTTGAAACATTTCAGCAATAAGTGTGTGGGTGTGAATGCAGACAAACTTGTGATCAAAGACACGTGTTCTACACTCGAAGAAGTTTTTCAAAAAGAACAGTTCAAATCTGATTTGATTCATTCAGCAAGTGGAAAGTGCGTCGCAAAACCCAGCCAAGACGGCGAGGTAGGGTCTCAATGCCAATAAGTAAAGTAAAGTTTTTGCGACCCTTATAAAGTCACACATTTAAATTATTATTTCGCACTGCTGTAACAAACTGCAGATATGTCCTTTATTTTTCTGAGTTCCCTTCTACTAGCTCTGGTCAGGGAGGTTAGCTATCCGTCTTTTAGCACACTTCTCATAGACCGACCCTCGACGACTCTCTGGCAGTACAAACCAGCCCCAAAATCACGCTCTCAAAATCGCGACCTTGCTTTTTATCCCGAATCTTAGCCTCGTTCCAGGGACAATGACACACAAAAACATTCGGTGAATATACAAACATACATTAAATCACCCAGTCTTCACTACTATAAAGGGCACATTTTTTAGTTTGGTAATCTCGATATTTTCCCTGATGGACGCAGCTATGTCGCATGTGCGTTAGGACGTCGCTTGTGGAAACCATACTCACTTATTAGATCGAACCTTTCAACAATACATATCTAAATTTCATGAAAAAGCGGTATGCTTTCAATCACGATGGTTGTCGTGCACTCTACATATCACCGAAAACTCAACCTTATTCTAAACGTTCGCATACAAGTTATATTATGTTTTCAACATCCAGCAAAACCTTTTTCTTATTTGTATTTGTTCTAGGCACTTACTCTCACAGACTGTGCATCACGTTCAAAAGTGGCAAAGTTGACCTTTGATGGGAAAACTCTTGGTTTCGGTGAAGACAAGTGCGTCCAGACTCGAGGTGGCGGAGAAAGTCCGGCAAATAACGATGAATTGGTAATCGGAACAGGATGCTCGAGTGAAGYRTCGCGATTCTATTTTACAGGTACATTTGAGGATCGTTGAGCAGAGATATGTATATGCAAACGCTCTTTTCATACTTCATTAAAGTGCAGGTACGATGAAAAGCGAACATCGAATTTGAGCTGTTTTTGTACACATACCTCATACACATACCTTATGGAGATCCAAATAAGTATTTCTGATATTTTTTTTATCGCTACATAATTGAAAAACAGAAGAAAGACAGCTTTGAAAGTCGGTTTTTTCCTATCCGCCATTAATCTGAGCCGAAGTGACATCGGTTGGCGGTTTTACCCAAACTTGAAGCATATGACGTCATATTCTTAACCCAGGAACGAGGTTGTCCTTCAGAATGTACAAAAAAAAAGATTCTGTTCTTTTCTCTATACTCTTTACTAATATGAATTGTAATCCATTGCCCTACCTCGACTGGCTTTTTTTTTCTATTTGTAGCAAGTGAAATCATGATCATTTGTAAATATTAATAAATTGAAACAAAAATTAAAACTTAATAGCTCTTGTACTCCTCTTCTAGAAACTAAACTTTCATTAAAAAAAAACTAAAACTGAAGCTAAACTTTCATTTTTCAAATTGAAGATGCCGTACTTTGCGAGGAATCTTGCCAATGTGTTGAAGGCTACGAGAAGAACAGTAATGGGCACTGCTTTCCCGTTAACAATTGCAAAGTTGGTAATGGCGGTTGCCTTGATGAAGCAAAGTGTGTAAATACAGGCCCCGGTACAAGCATGTGTGTATGCCCCACTGGTTATCAGCTGAAGTCAGATGGAATATCTTGCGAACAATGCCCAGACAAGAACTGCTACAGTCAGTGTCAGTTTATGGACTACAATGAACTTAAAACTTTAATTAGCCTGCAAGACCATTTTGAGGTTCGCTTCATGACTATCAAAACATCTGATTTATCTCCATATTTAACAGGAATTAAGACTAAAGAACTCGTAATTTATACCCACCAAATCACTATATCTGGGGAACTAAAAGTACCAGAAACCATTGAGAAATTTGCAATATTTGCAAATGAAATCTTGAGAGAAGATGGAGCACAAATTGTATTAGGAAATACGGCGACAAAAAGTGGTCGTAGTGCAGTTGTTAAAGTTGAAGACGACAAACTCCTATGTGAAAATCAATATTCTGCGAAATGGGTAGGCATTGTTCAAGGAACGGTTTTTAATATTTATACATCTAAAACATCAGCACCTTTCTCGTGCTCTGGAAACTACAACTCGAGGGACATGTCAATACAAGCTACTATCAAATCTAAAGGAAATCCAAAAAGATCTCTAGACGCTGAACTGTATTCCATTATACTAAATTGTGCCAAGGTCAAGGCGCAGGGAACACCATTTTCAAAAGACGGCAAGTTGCTCAAAGGAAGTCTTCCTGTGTCATTGATTGAATATGTTCTGGATGATATCAGAGCGGCTAAGGAGGGACAACTGGATACATCTTCAGCAAACGTTCTAAGATTAGTCGCAAAAAACCTGATGGAAGATCTGTCCATTCGTGCCAGTGGATACCATAGAGTTCCTTACTTGTCTCTGAAAGCTCACGAGAAGATTCTAGTCCTCATCAAGGATGACGCCAAAATGGCCATACAAAAATACGAAAGGTTCGAAAGAATAACTCAAGATTTTGATACAAGACTTGAAGCAACAGATTCCATGACGGAGCTTTTGTCAACTATTGTAAGGAAAAATGACCTGGAAGTTGCATCTCTTAAAACGCAGCTTGAATTAGCAAAAGCGGATATGAAAGCAATGAAAGACAAATTGGAAGAAGCAAAAACTGCTTTAGAGACAGAAAAAGAAGTTTTTGCTGACGGAGTTCGTGATTACCAAAACAAAATGATTGCAAACGCAGTGTTTTCYGTGATTGGGGGCGTTACGTCGATATTTGCTGCTGGGGCTGGTGGTGTTGTCGGTTTTACAATTGAACTCGGTGATCTAGCCGCCGATATAGGCAAACTGCAGAAAACCATGTTCAAGTTAGGCATTGTCATGGATTCTATTACCAATATAGCAGATGCAGCAAATACATTCACGGATCTTAAATATGATGTCATACCCTATGCTGATGCTGGAGTGTCCGATTACTACTCTAAATCTATGCCCGAGTTCAAAGACAAGAGTTTGGCAGTGTTGCTAAAGGAGTGGGATGTATTTGAAGCAGAGGCAAACGCATTCCTTACAGTTGGAACAGCCAGTGAAATATCAGGAGCATCAAATTACGTAGCAGCGCTTAGCACGGTGGCAATCTGGGGAAGGGGATACCACGAAAAATCTATTACAGTTCAAGACATTCTATCGACCTTGACTATGCTGGAGACTCTTCAGAATGACCAGCATGATGCACAAAAAAAGATAAAAGCATCTCGAGAAAATGCACTTGTTGATGTGCAGGTAAATGGAGTACTTCTGACTGAAATGGCCTTGCAAAAACAGCGACTTCGCAACATTATGATTGACAAGCTAATGCTCTTCTGTGATTCTTATTTCTACAACTGGCTGTCGGAATGTCCCGTAATGCCATACATGTCAGATGACTTGTATGCGTTGCATGAGAAAGTGAATCAGGGACTCAGCGCTGTTATCAACGCTGTAGAGAATTTTGCCCCTTTCATTCCACAGGAATTTGAAGCAACAATAATCCTAAAGGACAATAGAGAAAAATGCAGTGCTGAAGGGAAAAAGAGGTCTGCTGATGATGCACACACGTCGGCCTTGAACACATTAGAATGCCCTGTATCAGAGCTTAAGCGCGCTAAAGAATTTCTATTCAAGATTAACGAAAAAGACCCATTTATCTTCAGGGGTCACGAGCGGGTCCACGTTGAAGACATTGAAATTTATTTTGAGGATGCCAAATTTGACAAAGTAACAAGTGGAGACGAAGAGAAAGAAGACTGGGATCTAGCAGAGTCAGGAGTAAAGAAACAGAGAACACCAGCAAGGCCAAAGAAAAAAAGGTCATTAAAACAAGTTATAACGGCATGGATTTCATTTACCGGAAAAATGACAGATGTATTCAGAGGAAAGCGCTATCAGTTCCTTGCTCCTCCCCGAATTATAGAATTCTCCTACAGGATAAATCTAGATAACACCTACGAAGTAACTCAGTCTGGGAAAGTGAGCAGCAAATTTCAAGAATACTACGACGGCATTTCTGCCCTTACGACGTGGAGTGTTATCCTTCCTAAATCGGTGAACAAACGAAACCTGAATTTAGACGGGGTAAAATTGATTAAGATCAAGGTAAAAGGGACAAGAGTACCTGTACAGCCTGTCAAAAGACGTAGGAATGATTTGAGCGAGGTCCCGGGAGTGGCAAAGGATCATGCAAGAGTTCAGAAGAGGAATGGTACGACAGAAAAGCATTTCAGGGAAAGGTTCCAATTAAAGTAATAGACTCTGCAGAATCTTGGGAAAAAAACATTCTTGGTGCGTCTAAGAAAAATAGAATAAACTAGTCTAGACTGTATGTACGAAACTCAATAAAACTTATGTTTTGTTGTCGACTTGTGTGTTGTGTTGCTTATGTTCTTTTCGACACCTTGATAGAAGTGTTTATTTAGAAAAGGCTTCATCAACATGCACAAAAAA